GGATGGGGCCTTAGGGGGCGCGGGTGGAATGTCACATCTGTCCTCATCGCTCCCATCTGCATTGGTGTAAAACAGCAAGGCCAGACGATACACGAATGGACAGAAGACGTGAGTCTTGTGCATATGTGGCAGCATGGCACACCTGAATCATTTCAGAGACGAAAGCCGCAAGGCATGCATGATAAGAGCACAGTCATCACCTTTGCAGTCAGGCACTTTGTTGCACCAATTGATCTTCAAAGCGCATTGTAACTGGTTCCGGCACTTGCGGTACCCTTTGGTGCAGTTCCACTTCTCACACCCCACTTCATCGCTACCGTCTGTGGGCATGTGGGAGACAAGCAGATGAGTTGAGGTTCACAGGCGGATCGTTGCCTAGCAGATGCCAGAAGAACGGAGAAACAGAGGATTGGACAACCAGAATGCAGGAATGTTGGAACGGCAGCGGAGTGCCTGAGTGCCAGAGAATTGCACAGCTAGGATGTGCCAAACTTTGCAGTCGGCAGAGCCGTGCAGCGAAGCACGTCATCCACACGCTACATGTTGTTTTGCGTCTGCTTAAAGTACACCTGAAGCGCATAAAGGCTCACCTTTGCAGTCGGCAACGCCGTTGCAGCGAAGCACATCGTCAACACACTGCAATTTGTCACTGCACTTGGAGAACCCCTTGGGGCAAACGTAAGGCTTGCAGAACGCCGGGTCCTCGTCCACTGGCTTGCCGCCAGCTGTCTTCACAGGGCAGTCGGGCACCGCGTTGCAGAGGGTTCCGTTTGGCTTGCACATGCTGAGCCCCGGGCAGCGGATGTTGTTCCTCGGGCAGGTGAAATTCGAGCAGAACTTGGGATTTTCGTCCAGTGAGTCCGGGCAGTCGGTTTTCCCATCGCAGAATTGTCCGGGCAGGACGCAAACGCTTGGGGCATCTGGACAGAGAATCTGAAATACCAGCAAAAACCCAGATCACAAATAGGACGTTAAATAAAGAACCAGTCTGCGAACATCGCTAGACCAGCACTCACGTGCCTTGCCCCTTTTCCTCCTGACACCCTACTCCCTCCTTCCTTCGTCGCAATCAGTCTCGATTTATCTCAATATGCAAGTATATAGTCCGATACCTTTCCTCCACCCGGCACTCACGTGAGTAGCATTGAGCGCGCCACAGTCCATGTCGAAATTACAGAGCCAAGGCCACTCGTCGCTGCCGTCCGCGCAGTTCTTCACGCCGTCGCAGTAATCGCCCTTCGCGAAGCATCCCTTCTTGCTGGGGCACTGCGCGAAAGCAAGCGAGAGAGTACATGACGGTTTAGAGAAAGCTGGGGCACTCGAGGGTGACAACCATAGCGGTGATAGTCATAGTGGTGAGGACGGTGATCTTGAGGGTGATGGTATCGGTGACAATGATGCTGCTGAGGGGTTCGTGCTCACCTCGTTGGAACCGGGGCAAGGGTCGCCGGCGATCTACAGGAAGAAACGTGCAAGCACACGGGAAAAGCGGGAGAAAAAGGGGGGCAACGGGGGTAAGCAAAAGAAGAGGGGATCAGCTTGCTCGGCAATGTCGAAAGAGGAACGCGAGGGTGAAATGCGAGCGGCATTAGAGCAACAGAGTCGCCTGTTTTATTTCTCGTAAATGTTAACAGAACATGGCTGAAGCCCGACAATCTCGAGCACAGTGAAAAACCGCGACTAATGGGCTGGTGAACAGGAGAAGCCACGATGCCACGCAATATTCCCGTGACGGGCTATCGTAGCGGTTTGCGGGCTGAGGGACTTTTGCGGCGCCCCAAGCGGCAACAGCGGGCTACCGTAGCGGTTTGGTGTGCCGACCCAACAACCTAACATGCAGGGTCTTCGCGCCCCGGTTTGTTAGCGATCTGGATTCACGCGACATTACAAGTCGGAACCACGAATCCGACTGTCTATAAGTCTATCCTCATCGCATTTTGCCCGTGCACTGGCGCTTTCACGCCTCGGAAAATACGCTCGCTGATGTCGTTTGTGGGATATCACGCTTCGGGAGATACGCTAGCTGATGTCGTCTGGCCTATAACGCCTCGAGAACCCACGGCGAGAGCGCCTGTTTTCGCGCGTAAGACGCGCGGTTGCCTCAGTACCTGCGAGCTTGTTGTCGCGAAGAGTGTTGCGAAAAGTATCGCCCCTGCGAGAAGCTTTAGCGACGTGGGCGTTGACAGCCCAGACGCACGCGCCATGCCTCTTGCCACACAGGGCGAGACTCTATATTCTGTTGCCTTAGCGACAAAACGTGGACAAGCGATCAGTCGTTGAAAGGAGTGGAAGCCCGGCCGAGCTTCTTGCCAAGAATCAGACACCTCCAAATTGGACGCTGTGAAATGTTTGTCGCTCGAAGTGTAGATATTGCTGGGTTCGAAGCCTGGACAACTGATGGGTCCGTGATGTCATGTCCGCGGCACGAAAGTGGCGGCAGTCACAGACTCACAGGGATCGAACAGTCAGGCTTTTCTTCAGGGCAGGCAGGAGCCACGTTGAAGACAAGAATCTCTTCGCAAGCGTCACCGTCGTCGTGAGCGTGACGAGGGGGGCAAAGTGTTTTTCCGGGGAAGGCGTTCTGTTGGGGCAGGTGGGGTGAGTGTGACTCGCGGAGTCCGCGCGCTAAATCTCAGGTGCGACTCGTCTTATCCAGGTGGATTTCAGGTTGTAGTAATTTGAGCAAAACCGGTAGTACGACGTTGGCGATGTTGGTTACTGAGTAAACGATTCTTCAGCTGTTCCCGAGAGTTCCGTAAGGATCGCCGCAAATGCTGGTCAGAACTACGACTCAAAATGGGTGAGATGTTGTACAAAATCGCCACGAACTAACATTGAACGATATAACAATATGTCTCATGGAGCCTCTCACAGTGCATTGTGCAGTGGGGGCTCCCACTTCCATGCAATGCATACATCAGATTCACCTATCTAGGCTCAAAACTAAACAGGATGCATGTCCTGCTCAGCTTCAAGAAAATTCAAACTCAGCAGTATACAGTTTATGCATCAATATGCCCTCAGAAAGGACCATAACCAGTTGCAAACTTTCATAAAAACCGTCTCCCCATCCCAAGCTGCTCAAACATCAACTGACCCACAGGAAGTATGAATCAAACAATACAAAACAACAAAATAACATGCTACAGTATTATAAAACCGCACACCACTGTTGTACATTCCAAAGTCCCGCTGCATGAATCAGCCCAGCCAAGGGTCACCACTGCCATCCCCGCCATCACCTCCACCTGTGCCATCCCCTGAGCCATCACCTGAACCATCACCTGAGCCGTCCGTGCTGTCATCAGATCCGTCATTTATCTGATCCGTCGTGTCCTTCCCATTGAGGATATTCGACTCCTTCACAATCCGCATGTAAGTCTTCCGCCTCAGCGACACATCCCCCTCCCCCCCCTCTAGAAGAGTCATCGACGCCAAGTACGCCTGATACGCCTCGTCACGATCCGATTTGGTTTGGTCGAGCCACTTCTTGGTTCGGGCAACGTTCTTCTGCCGAAGCTTCACCCGTTCCATCTCCCCCGTGGCCAGATACTTCCGAATTTCCTGATTCAGCCGCGAAATATCCTCCGTCAGATTATCATACCTTTCGTTCATCTTATCAAGTAGCGCTTCAGCATCCAGAGTATCATTATACAGCCCTTCCAGCTTAAATACCGCCTTGTCCCAATAGCTCTTCGCCGCCCGTGCGCGATTCAGCACCTCAGCCGCTTTAGCAGACATCTTAACGCGGTTCGCCTGTCGCTGGTTCTGCGCAAACGACATCGCATCCTGCTTCTTCTGCTTCTGCATCGCGGCCCGTTCCGCCGCCGAAGTCAGCCTCTCCGCCGCGGCACCCGATGCCTTCACGCTGCCCGCGTTTTGCGCCTTGCTAATCGCCTTCTTCAGCTTCTCCCGGAGCCTGTCCGCGGTGTCTTTCGCGCTCTCATACTCCTTCTCCTTGCTATTCGCGTCCGCCTTGGCAGCGGCAGCAGCAGCCTGCTTAGCAGCAACGTCCGCCTTGGCCTTTCTAGCAGCGTCTTTCTTTGCCTTGGCCGTAGCACCCACAGCGTTGTTAGCCACTCTTTGAAGCCTGTCCGCTTCGGTCCCAGCAGCGTTGGCGTCTGTCTGGAGTTGCCTGGCCTTGGCGTCTGCAGCGTCAGCAGCCGCTTTTGCCTTGTCCTGGGCAATCAGTGCGGCCTGGTACTGGGCTGTGAGTTGCTGCACGGTGGTGCCACCTCCTGAAGACCCAGTGCTGCCGGTGTTTCCAGTGTTGCTGCTGCTGCCAGTGCTTCCAGTGTTACCGTTAGTACCAGTGCTGCTGCTGCTGCCCGTGCTGCCAGTGCTTCCAGTGCTGCCCTTAGTGCCAGTGCTGCTGCTGCTCCCTGTGCTGCCGGTGCTGCCAGTGCTAGCCTTGGTACCGGTGCTGCTGCTGCTGCCGGTGCTACCAGTGCTGCCAGTACTGGCCTTAGTACCAGTGCTGCTGCTGCTCCCCGTGCTTCCGGTGGTTCCAGTGCTAGCCTTGGTGCCAGTGCTGCTGCTGCTGCCAGTGCTGCCAGTGCTGGTGCTGCTACCAGTGGTGCCAGTGCTGCCAGTGCTACCCTTGGTACCGGTGCTGCTGCTGCTGCCCGTGCTGCCGGTTGTACCAGTGTTGCTGGTGCTGCCCGTGCTTCCGGTTGTGCCCGTGCTGCCCGTGCTGCCCGTCGTGCCCGTACTGCCCGTGCTGACGGGATCCGGGAAACCACAGTCGAACTCGTCGCTCCCATCTGGTGAGGAACGGAAGGGGAAGCGAGGACGTGGGTCAGCAAGGGATACGACGATGCCGAGAGACGAGGAGGCGACGAGAGGTTGATGGCCGTGCGAGAGCAACGTGCGAGAGCAACGTGCAGGCAAAAAAAGGGAAAAGGGGGAGGGATGAAGAGGGAGAGAAAGCATGAGAGCGAGGGCATTGCCCGCTAATGAGCGAGGGCATTGGGCGAGGACACAGCAGGTTAGCAGTTAAATCAAGGACGGGAGGAAGCTGGGGGAAGGGCGGAAGGGGAGCGCGGAGAAGAGCGGGAGGAGGGGGAGAGCAGGAGGAGGGGGGAAGAAGGGCGGGAGAAGGGCGGGAGAAAGGCGGGAAGGGAAGGGAACGCACCGAGGCAGTCCTTCTTGCCGTCGCAGATGGCATCGACCAGCACGCACTGCAGCTCGTCGCTGCACTTCTGGAACCCGTCCAGGCACGAGTACGCGGCGCAGTACTTGGGGTCCTCATCGGGCGCGTACAGCACTCCGCTCGTCGCGTTCTTGATCTTGGGGCAATTCGCGACGCCGTCGCACATGTACCCCTTGATGCACGCGGAGGAGGCGGTGCATTTGACCTGGTCCTCCTCGCAGTTGGAGCTGCGGTAGTCGAGGCAGAAGCCGGGGGACTCGTCGATGGCGCCCGGGCACTGCATGATGCCGTCACACACTTGAGTCGGCTTCACGCAGTACTCCGTTCCCACGCACTCCACCTGCGGGGGAAAAGGGGGAAGGAGCGGGGGGGAGGGGCAGGGGAAGGGAAGGGGGGAAGGGAAGGGAGGAAGGGAAGTCGAGTTGGGTGGTCAGGAGAGGAAACGAGTCGATTGCACGCTTGCAGGGGCTTCAGACAGTACTAGGTGCTCACGCGAGGGGGAACGGGAGCAAGCGGCGAATGCGGGACACACGGTGGTGCCGGAGAGGGTGCGGCGAGCTAGGCGGATGCGGCGGGTGTGGCGCGCGTGGCGGTCGTGGCGCGGTTGAGAGGGGTGCGGGGCGGGTTGACGTACGGTGGTGTCGGGGTCGGAGCAGTCGAGCGGGTTGCAATACCACGCGGCCTCGTCGCTCTTGTCCTTGCAGTTGGCCGTCTTGTCGCACAGCTTGTCGGGATCCACGCACTGCCCGAGACCTGGACACTCCGTCTGTTGTGACGATAACGGGAGGCAGATGTGACAGAAGAGGGAGGTGAGTGAGTGGGTGCCTGGGAGGCCTCGTCGCTCTTGTCCTTGCAGTTGGCCGTCTTGTCGCACAGCTTGTCATGGGACATGATCCACGCACTGCCCGAGACCTGGACACTCCGTCTGTTGAAAGGTTGTTGTGACAGTAACAGGGGGAACGTGAGACAAAAAGGGAGGTGAGTTGACGAAACTAGTGCGGATTGCGGGAGATGGCGGAAGTAGTGCGGGGACATGGAGTCAGTGTGGGGAAGCGATGGAATGCGTTGCGGAAAAGGGGCAGGGCAGGTAGACAAGGGAGCGAGAGATGAGGCCGGGGAAGTGGGGGATGAGGGCGAAAAGCGCGGTGACCGACAAAGCGCGGTGAACGACAAAGCGCGGTGAACGACAAAGCGCGGTGAACGACAAAGCACGGTGAACGACAAAGCGCGGTGAACGACAAAGCGCGGTGAACGACAAAGCGCGGAGAACGACAAAGCGCGGTGAACGACAAAGCGCGGGGAAGTTGGGACAAAGACCGGAACTGGGCATGAAGGGGCGAGTGGTGGGGAAACGGTGGAAGCTGGGAAAGGGGAACGGGAGGGGTGCAAGAGGGGGGATGAAAGAAGGGGGGACGGGTGTTGGGGGAAGTAGAATGCGAGCGGGTCGGGATAAGGGGGGGAAGCAGAAGGCGAGCGGGTCGGGATAAGGGGGGGAAGCAGAAGGCGAGCGGGGCGGGATAAGGGGGGGAAGCAGAAGGCGAACGGGGCGGGGAACGTACCAGATCGCCGCAGTCCATTTCGGCCGCAACCTGCGGACAGCGGGGCACGGGGAAAGGGGGGCACGGGGAAAAGGGGGCAGGGGGAAAGGGGGGCACGGGGAAAGAGGGGCCACGCGGAAGGGGAAGAGGCAAGAATCGGGATGTTAGGGATGCTCAGTGATAATCTAGGATTCATACATGTAAGACCGACCTAATTGGGAGGTTGCGCAGCGGTTGCGAGAAGTGGGATACGCGAGGGACGAGAAACGTCAACTATTGTCCAGTCGGCCCGTGCGTACGAGACGGTGGTACAGCGATACGCGCGGTATGGACTGATTGAATGCTAACGGACGGGCAGCAAGGAAGCTGGCCGGGACAATCTGTAAGGCTCTGCGTGCGCGCTGCGCCGTCGGACAGTGCGTTTAGGCTTTACGTGAGGTCTGACTGCTGCCGCGTGCGCTGCTGTAACGAGCAGAGCAGACTGCTGGGCGTGGCGAGAGGTACCATGGTGTCATTGTAACGAGAGGTGACTATTGAGTAGACAACATAGACTGCCGGGCGGGGCAGGTCGTACCATGGTGGTGGTGTGCGAGAGGAGCGAGAGAAGCAGCGCCGCGACACAAAAGACGTGCGCGGCATGCCGTTGATGCCAGCTAGCCCTCGCCATCGGACCGCTCTCGTCGACCAAAACGGACAACGCCCGAGGTGAAAAGTACCGATTAAAAAAAAAGAAAAAATGAGTGTTTTATTTATTTAGAACAATGTAGGTTTGGGGTTCCTGCGGGAGGTGCGGGTCTGTCTCTAGTCTAACTAGAATAATAGAGTCGAAAATAACCCCTGCACGCTAATTCCTTCTTAGTAGTCGCTACTTGCGCGCTTCGACGTGCTTGACCTAAGCTCTGGCATCACCCACCAGAATCTGTGATAAGGCACTTGAGGGAAACTACATAGAGTGCGGAGTGGAGCGAGGACACGGGTTGGCTCGAATTTGGTGAGGCAGGTGGAAAGGATGGGAGGGAGGGAGAGAACAGAACGCGGAAAGGAACAGAACGGGCCAGTTGCGAAACGGGCACGGGGGGGAATGAGGCAGCGCGGGAGGAAGTGAGGGAGCTGGGCGAGAGGGGAACGGAAGGGAGAAGAGCGGTGCGGGCAAATGGAACATTCCGCACGACTTTGCTTGCATGTCTTCCCCACGAGGGGAGTGATATGGCCGAGTTGGCGGTCTGGCACGGTTGGGACTCAGGAATCGAAACATATGCTGCTCACCTGTCGAACCTTCTGATACTGTGCTTCATTTGCGACGCGGGTAAGTGGCTGGGATATCACCTGAGAACCTGCCCGAACTGAGAAAAACGACAACGGGGTCTAGAGAACCAATGAGAGTGCAACACCATGTGCATGTCTTGATTTGAGCTGCACAGTGGCACTTCTTCAGGTGCGACGCGTCACCACTTGCCCAGTCTCGATTCCAGGTTAGGGTTCACGAAGCGCATGCTACCAACCAGATGACTGTTACTCAGCCAGCGGTGGTGTGACAGCGTATATCAAGGATAATGCGAGTTCATGATACTCCGCAAAAGCATATGTGAAACTTTATGCCTTACGATTAGCATACCGGTAATACAGAATGATACCATTTTGGAATGGTGGAACAAGATAACACCAGACCAAGAAATAATACATAATACATATATTACATATAAATGGAACAGGTTACTTTACTTCCAGTTAGAGTTGTTATTATCAGCCCCCAACTCCACCCATATGTCTATTCCTAGTGTTACCCTTCTTCTCGTAACAACCACTCCCCACAACACCATCAGTAAAAGCCAACTGCTGCATGCATTGTCCGCTTCACCCGCCCCACTGTCAGCTGATGGAACACTTCTTTTCGCACTGCTTGTTGTACCCACCCTCGCTTGTGCCACTTCCTGGATCAGTACCACCACCCCTGCTTCCATCCTGCTCTCCCCCCCCCCCCCCCCCCCGCTCTTTCCCTCCCTCTTTCCCTGCTCCCCCGTTCTCTGCAGCGCCATTGTCTTCCACCGAGCAGTCATCACACCAAACCTACACCCACCAGTCACCACCGCACTGGCTGCAGCAAAGTACCGCGAGCGCATGCAGCGGGTGCGACGGCTGACTTGTTCATGTGACGCGTTACCCAGCACAAGCCCGGCGCCCCCTGCCTTCAAGTGACGCGTTACTTGAACGCGTCGGCTGTTCAAGTCAAGCGCTACCCGGCAGGAGCCACAGAGCCCGGTGCTTTCAAGCTCCCGGTCTTGTGCGCCTTGCCACTCTCCTTCAGCTGTGTCCGCAGCTTATGTTATGAGGCGCTTCAAAAGTCGTCTCTACACACAATCTTTTTACGCGCCTCAAAAGTCAAACGGAGCCCGGTGCCTTGGAGCCCCCGGCCTTCTTCTGCACCTTGCCCATCTCCTTCAGCTGCGCTCGCAGCTTACTCGCCGTGCCTTTCACGCTCTCATACGCCTGCTTCTTGCTGTCAGCATCCATTCTGGCAGCGGCAGCAGCGGCCTGTTTCGCCGCAGCATCCTCACCAGCCTGCCTAGCAGCCTCTGTTCTCTTCTTAGCTAAAGCCACGGCAGCGTCTGCCTTCCGCTGCAACTTGTCAGAACTAGCAGTAGAAAGTAAGAATGAAGAAAGGAGGAGGTTCACTAGCAAGCAGTTGAGTACATATAGGAAACCCTAGATTGGGCTGTACTCGCTATAGAGTACCCCACTGCAGGCTAGACAAATACAACATTCTGACACAACTTGTCCGCTTGAAGCCCAGCAGCGTTCGCTTCCTTCTCCAGGCGCTCTGCCTTGGCATTCGTGGCATCTGTGGCCTTTTTGGCCTTGCTCTGAGCAGTGATTGCTGCCTGGTACTGCGCGGTCAGCTGCTGCACACTCAAGCTGCCTTCTGAAGGGCCTGTGCTGCCTAAGTTTCCCGTGCTGCCAGTGCTGCCAGTGCTGCTGCTGCTGCCAGTTGTTCCGGTGCTGCCCGAGCTGCCCGTGTCCGGGTAAGCACAGTCGACCTCATCGCTCCCATCTGGTGGGACGTGAAGGGAATGAGATGACGTGGGTGGGCAAGAGATCAAGGGGTGAGAGATAAATGATGTGAAGGGCAAGAGGTGAAGGGCAAGAGGTGAAGGGCAAGAGGTGAAGGGCAAGAGGAGAAGGGCAATAGGTGAAGGGCAAGAGGTGAAGGGCAAGAGGTGAAGGGCAAGAGGTGAAGGGCAATAGGTGAAGGGCAAGAGGTGAAGGGCAAGAGGTGAAGGGCAAGAGGTGAAGGGCAAGAGGTGAAGGGCAATAGGTGAAGGGCAATAGGTGAAGGGCAAGAGGTGAAGGGCAAGAGGTGAAGGGCAAGAGGTGAAGGGCAAGAGGTGAAGGGCAAGAGGTGAAGGGCAAGAGGTGAAGGGCAATAGGTGAAGGGCAAGAGGTGAAGGGCAAGAGGTGAAGGGCAAGAGGTGAAGGGCAAGAGGTGAAGGGCAATAGGTGAAGGGCAATAGGTGAAGGGCAAGAGGTGAAGGGCAAGAGGTGAAGGGCAAGAGGTGAAGGGCAAGAGGTGAAGGGCAAGAGGTGAAGGGCAAGAGGTGAAGGGCAATAGGTGAAGGGCAATAGGTGAAGGGCAAGAGGTGAAGGGCAAGAGGTGAAGGGCAAGAGGTGAAGGGCAAGAGGTGAAGGGCAATAGGTGAAGGGCAATAGGTGAAGGGCAAGAGGTGAAGGGCAAGAGGTGAAGGGCAAGAGGTGAAGGGCAAGAGGTGAAGGGCAAGAGGTGAAGGGCAAGAGGTGAAGGGCAAGAGGTGAAGGGCAAGAGGTGAAGGGCAAGAGGTGAAGGGCAAGAGGTGAAGGGCAAGAGGTGAAGGGCAAGAGGTGAAGGGCAAGAGGTGAAGGGCAAGAGGTGAAGGGCAAGAGGTGAAGGGCAAGAGGTGAAGGGCAAGAGGTGAAGGGCAAGAGGTGAAGGGCAAGAGGTGAAGGGCAAGAGGTGAAGGGCAAGAGGTGAAGGGCAATAGGTGAAGGGCGAGGGAGGTGAAGGGCAAGAGGTGAAGGGCGAGGGAGGTGAAGGGCAATAGGTGAAGGGCGAGGGAGGTGAAGGGCAATAGGTGAAGGGCAAGAGGTGAAGGGCAAGAGGTGAAGGGCAAGAGGTGAAGGGCAAGAGGTGAAGGGCAAGAGGTGAAGGGCAATAGGTGAAGGGCCAGGGAGGTGAAGGGCAAGAGGTGAAGGGCCAGGGAGGTGAAGGGCAATAGGTGAAGGGCGAGGGAGGTGAAGGGCAAGAGGTGAAGGGCGAGGGAGTTGAAGGGCAAGAGGTGAAGGGCAAGAGGTGAAGGGCAATAGGTGAAGGGCGAGGGAGGTGAAGGGCAAGAGGTGAAGGGCGAGGGAGGTGAAGGGCAATAGGTGAAGGGCGAGGGAGGTGAAGGGCAATAGGTGAAGGGCAAGAGGTGAAGGGCAAGAGGTGAAGGGAAAGAGGTGAAGGGCAAAAGGTGAAGGGCAATAGGTGAAGGGCCAGGGAGGTGAAGGGCAAGAGGTGAAGGGCCAGGGAGGTGAAGGGCAATAGGTGAAGGGCGAGGAAGGTGAAGGGCAAGAGGTGAAGGGCGAGGGAGGTGAAGGGCAAGAGGTGAAGGGCGAGGGAGGTGAAGGGCAATAGGTGAAGGGCGAGGAAGACGAAGAGAGAGCAAGAAAGGGGAAGGATGAGGAAGGAGGGAGAAACCGACAGAGGTAGAGAGGTAGAGGGGGAGAGAGAGAGAGAGAGCAGAAGCGGGCGGGCGTGTTTGATTGCCGGCTCATACAGCAGTAGGTCAAGAGAGGTCAAAAGAGGTCAAGGGCAGGTCAAGAGGGAAGGTGGTTGGGAGGAGTGCAAGAGGGTGCAGGAGCGGGTGGGGAGGGGGGCGGAGGGCAGGAAAGGCACGCACCGAAGCAGTCCTTTTTGCCGTTGCAGAAAGCCTCGTAGCGCACGCACTGCTTCCCATCGCCGCACTTCTGGAACCCGTCCAGGCACGAGTACGCAGCACAATACTTGGCGTCCTCATCTGGTGCCACCAGCACTCCACTCGCGTTCCTGACTTTCGGGCAATTCGGCACGCCGTCGCACATGTAGCCCTTGATGCAGGCAGAGGTGGCCGTGCATTTGAGTTGGTCTATCTGGCAGTTGGAGCTGCGGTAGTCGAGGCAGAAGCCGGGGGACTCGTCGATGGCGCCCGGGCACTGCATGATGCCGTCGCACACTTGAGTCGGCTTCACGCAGTACTCCGTTCCCACGCACTCCACCTGCGGGGGAAAGAGGGGGACAGCGGGCGGGATGGTGGAAGGGATGGCGGACGCACGGGGAAAGGGACGGGTGAAGGGAAGGGGAGCTTTGAGGGTGAGGAAGTCGAGGAGAGGGAACGACTCTTGAGGCGCCTCAAAAGCTTGTGGGTGAGAAGGATGAGGAGGGTGAGGAGGGTGAGGAGGGTGAGGAGGGTGAGGAGGATGAGGAGAGCGAATGACTTTGCTGCACACCTACGGAGGCAAGTCAATGGCCAGACAAACCATGCCAATTGCAAGCCGGAACGAGCAGCGAGTGTGGGCAAAGCAGCGAGTGTGGGCAAAGCAGCGAGTGTGGGCAGAGCAGCGAGTGTGGGCAGAGCAGCGAGTGCAGGCAGAGCAGTTGCGCTTGTCGGGCGGGGAATGTGAGAGCGGTAGGGGAGGGACTGGGGAGGGATGTATTACAGTGGTGTCGGTGCAGTCGAGCGGGTTGCAGTACCACGCAGCCTCGTCGCTCTTGTCCTTGCAGTTGGCCGTCCCGTCACACAGCTTGCTGGGGTCCACACACTGCCCGAGACCTGGACACTCCGTCTGTTGAGCGGTTGTGACCATAGCATAGCATAGGGGCAAATATGAGAACAAAAGGAGATGAGTTGACAAAAAAATAGACATTATGTCTGTTGAATGGTTGTGGCCATAGCACGGGGGCAGATATGAGAACAGGTGTGCATGTGGCAACAAAAGGAAGGTCAGTGCGTAACTTAAGAGGAGGTAGTGGATTGGCAAAAGTGCAAGGACACGGGGGGGTTTGGAGGGGTGGGAGGGAGGCGAAAGCGAGTGGGAAAAGGGAGATTGCTGGATTAATACGTAGTTGGAAATAGTGCGACGAGTGTGACGAGTGGGGAGAGGAAAGAGCGCGGAAATTCCGGGATCTGCAGTAAAGCGTAAAGAGTCAGCTCTGAGAAATTTCAAAAGTCGAGGGTGGGGGGGGGTGATAGGATGAAAATGAGGCAGTGCGTGAGACGGAAGAGAGGAAGAGAGAACTGTCAGAATCCCAGCCACTAGACCACTAGGATAAAAGGGCTAAGTAGCAGGTCTGTAACCCATATCTAGGATCGGTCGGGCATCCCCAGGACGTGCGGAAGGGAGAGGAGGGGGACAGCGGCACGGGGGCTAGTGGGGGAGAAGAGAGGGAGCAGAATGGGGGCGTACCAGGTCGCCGCAGTTGAGTTGAGCAGCACCTGTGCTGCTGCTGCCAGTGCTGCCAGTGCTGCCAGTGCTGCCAGTGTTGCCGGTGCTGACCGTGCTGCCTGTGCTCTCCGTGCTGCCAGTGCTGCTGCTGCTGCCAGTTGTTCCGGTGCTGCCCGAGCTGCCCGTGTCGGGGTAAGCACAGTCGACCTCATCGGTCCCATCTGGTGGGACGCGAAGGGAATGAGAGGACGTGGATGGGCGAGAGGTGAAGGGCAGGTCAAGGGCAGGTCAAGGGCAGGTCAAGGGCAGGTCAAGGGCAGGTCAAGGGCAGGTCAAGGGCAGGTCAAGGGCAGGTCAAGACCAGTCAAGAGCGGTCAAGAGCAGGTCATGAGCAGGTCAAGAGGGAAGGTGGCAGGGAGTAGGGCAAGAACGCACCGAGGCAGTCCTTCTTGCCGTCGCAGAAAGCCTCGAGGCGCACACACTGCATTCCGTCGCCGCACTTCTGAAACCCATCCGGGCACTCGTATGCCACGCAATACCTGGAGTCCTCGTCCGGAGCTATCAGCACTCCGCTGGCGTTTTTCACCTTGGGGCAATTCGGCACGCTGTCGCACATGTACCCCTTGATGCAGGTAGAGGTGGCGGTGCATTTGACCTGATCCTCGTTGCAGTTTGAGCTGCGGTAGTCGAGACAGAAGCCGGGGGACTCGTCTATCGCGCCCGGGCACTGCATGATGCCGTCGCACATCTGACTGGGCTTCACGCAGTACTCCGTTCCCACGCACTGCACCTGAGGGGGAAAGAGGGGGAGGGACGGGAGGAGGGATGGGGGAAGGGCAAGGGGAAGGAAGCAGAGTTGGGTGATCCGGCTCAGGCACTGCATGATGCCGTCACACATCTGACTGGGCTTCACGCAGTGATCCGTTCCCACGCACTGCACCTGAGGGGGAAAGAGGGGGAGGGGCGAGCGAAGGGAAGGGGAGTTGGCGGGTCAAGAGAGGGACTGATTCAGTCGCACATCTGAGACAGCTTCAAGTTGACTTTTGATTTTTGAGTTGACTCAAAAGTCAACTACCTAAGACAGTTTCAAGCTGACTCTGGACTTTTGAGTCGACTCAAAAGTCAACCATCTGAGACAGCTTCAAGTTGACTTTGGAAGATGCCGCATAGCATGCTGTAGGTTATGGCGCGGTTGGGGGAGGGGGCGGCGGGCGTGGCGGGTTGACGTATGGTGGTATCCGGGTCGGAGCAGTCGAGTGGGTTGCAGTAGCACGCGGCCTTGTCGCTCTTATCCTTGCAGTTGGATGGAGCACCAAGTAGGTGCCATGCTGTCAACACGTGCCTACACCTTCGAGCAGAAACACCTATGAAACTATATGTGCAGGTGCGGCGCAGTTGAGAGCGGTGCAGAGCGACGTACGGTGGTATCCGGGTCGGAGCAGTCAAGCGGGTTGCAGTACCACGCGGCCTCGTCGCTCTTGTCCTTGCAGTCGGCCGTCCCGTCGCACAGCTTATCCGGGGCCACACACTGCCCGAGACCAGGACACTCCATCTGTTGACAGTAACGCGGGGAACGTGTGACAAAAAGGGAGGTGAGTTGACGAAATCAGTGCGGATTGCAGTCGGCCGTCCCGTCGCACAGCTTATCCGGGGCCACACACTGCCCGAGACCTGGACACTCCATCTGTTGACAGTAACGCGGGGAACGTGTGACAAAAAGGGAGGTGAGTTGACGAAATCAGTGCGGATTGCAGTCGGCCGTCCCGTCGCACAGCTTATCCGGGGCCACGCACTGCCCGAGACCTGGACACTCCGTTTGTTGAATGGTTGTGACCATAGCATAGCATAGGGGCAAATATGAGAACACGAGGTGATGAGTTGAGTAAGAAATAGACATTATGTCCGGGGCCACGCACTACCCGAGACCAGGACACTCCGTCTGTTGAGCGGTTGTGAACATTGCACGAGGGAAGATGTGAGAGCAGTAGGTGCAGATGTGAAAACAAGAGTGGGGGTTGATAGGCTGAGATTGAGGCAGTGCGCAAGACGGAAACGAGGAGTGGTGGCGATGGGGGAAACGGGGAAGAGGGGACGTGCAGAAGGGAGAGGAGGGGAGCAGCGGGGCGGGGAGCAGAGAGGGAGCAGCGAGGGAGCAGAGAGGGAGCAGAGAGGGAGCAGAGAGGGAGCAGAGAGGGAGCAGAGAGGGAGCAGAGAGGGAGCAGAGAGGGAGCAGAGAGGGAGCAGGGTGGGGGGCGTACCAGGTCGCCGCAGTTGAGTTGAGCAGCCACCTGCCGGGGGTTAGGGGCACGGGGAGACGAGCACGGGGAGACGAGCACGGGGAGACGAGCACGGGGAGACGAGCACGGGGAGACGAGCACGGGGAGACGAGCACGGGGAGGAGGGCACGATACAGTAGTTTAGGGCTGGACCTTGCGGCGGCGGCGGGCGGGCGGGCGGGCGGGTAAACCCTAGAATTCCAACTTTAACTGAATCCTTGAAGGATCATGATGACTCCAATCGAGACGAGTGGGGGGGGGGGGGGGGGGGGAAGAGAGTAGAGATGGCGGGTGCAGAGCAGTGAGACACAAGGGACGAGGGGCGAGGGGCGAGGGACGACGATGGACGATGGGCGATGGCGGTCTAGGAAGGATCATCGCAAGTCGGCCTGTGCACTGCACTATACGGTGGCAGTACGGTGGCAGTACGGTGGCAGTACGGCGGCACCACCTGGTGCCGTCACGGTGTCACGAGGGTTATGGAGGGCAATGCAAATCCTGTGACGATAGAAGTGTGGTTTTGAGACGTCTCAAAACTACACTTCGATCACGAGGGTTGTAGAGTGCCGAATGCAAACGCAGGAGGGGAAATGAGAGAGCTACGGGCAGCAGGAAGGCGCACGGACGACCGCGTATCGGCGCTGCGCGCGGAACGAATTTTGAGACTCACGGTCTCGAAAACCGTGTACCAGCGCTGCGTGCGGCTACTACCCGGACAGGTAGTATCTGTACTACAGTGCGACCCGATAGTAGTAAGCGGGTCGGACAGTGCGTTCAGGCAGTGCGCGTGATCAGTCTGTTGCGGTCACCGCTGCTTGGCGCGGGCGGATCGTACGGTCTAGGGTTCGTACCAGGGTCGTGAGCGAAAGGAAGGTGAGAAGTTGCGCCGTGGCACAAAAGACGTGCACGGCGTGCCGTTGATGCCAGCTGGCCCTCGCCATCGGACGGCTCTCGCCGAGCGGAAATACCATGCAACACGATAGGTATCGAGTGTAGACTCCTTGAAATACTCTTTTGGGAAATATTAGATACTCCTCAAGAAAAAAATTGTGGAAGACTCATGGATATGCGGGCCTGTGTTTGGCTCCCTAGACTTGACTCGGATCTACGGAGGACTCTGATCCCTTACTCGTACTTGATCTGACGGAATCTACACTTGAGTACAGATTGATCTCTCCACTTCGCCTCAAAAGTAGATCTACGGAGGACTCTGATCGCTTATTTTTAGTCGACTCAAAACACGGAAGACTCCGATCCCTCGTTCCGATCTCTTGCTCGTACTTCACGGAATTCTAGCGAGCGTAGCTGGCGAGAAAGCGTTTCTGCAAGAACGCTGTCGTTTCCCTAGAGCCTACTAAAGGAAGATTTTTGGGTAGGGACGCGTCGTCCACCTAACATCATTGCTATGCGATCCGGTGTACTACCTACCCACTTACACGTACCTTGTACAGTAGTGAACGCGCCCCGACCCAACTGCTGTGCGCGCCAAGTCAGCTCGAGGCGACTCCCGACTTCCATGACTCGTTACAAACCAGCAGCACAAGCTTCGTTGCTGCTGCTGATAGTCGCGCTAGTCTTTGGTAGGTAGGAAGTCGTCCAAGTCAATATACCAAGTCACGCCCCACCTAGAGCCTTTCCTTGCTGTCGTGCCCAGCAGCGGTCCATCAATACTGCACTCGCTAGTACCAGCGCGTTTTTATCTGGTTAACACACCAAAAATTTAGCCACTTCGGGTAGTTAAAACCCGCGTCTCATATTTCTTGTTTCCAACCAAAGGTAATACGCTTGAAACCGGGTAACCAAACAATCACTCGCAAAACACTCGCGTTTGGTTTGGCGCAGGTGTGATTGGCTGCAAACCAAACAGTTTGGTAGAGGCAGGTGCCTGACTACCAAGCCGGGTTTGCGAGAAACAGGCAACTGCATGTGCGACGGACTGAGAATGGGACGCACAGCCCACAACCGAGCGTATTACAGAGCTGGAAAAATATGAAACTGCAAACCCAGACAGGTTGTAGGTGGAGAAACATACTCGCACCGATTTCTCTAGCGACTAAGTCTCATTTCAGCATCTTATTTTCCCTAGGTTTATTCCAGCGTCAAACGTGACAATACCTTGTACCTCTCGTTGTCGTTGTTTATTTTTATCTTTGGTCACTCCGCGCCTGCATTTGCTTTTACGCACGTATAGTCCGTCCATCGCCAGAGCTGGTCCTCATTATTGCAATAAGATGCACCACTCTATTTGGACCAAGGTGTATTGCAGTAACGCTCCCCCCTGTCGAATTTGGACGGAAGGGACACGACGGAAAGGCAGCAGTTAGGACGAGATAGGAAGCGACGCGACGGAAAGGCAGCAGTTAGGACGAGATTGGAAGCGACGCGACGGAAAGGCAGCAGTTAGGACGAGTTAGGAAGCGACGCGACGGAAAGGCGAGGGTTAGGACGAGATAGGAAGCGACGCGACGGAAAGGCGAGGGTTAGGACTGGATAAGCAGCGACGCGGCTGAAAGGCGAGGGTTAGGACTCGATAAGCAGCGACGCGACATTACAGGAAGCGACGCGACATGGCTGGAAGCGAGGAGAAAGGGATGGGCGTGATGCGAGGGTAAGGGGAGAGTCGCGAAGGGGTGTGGCGGGACGGTTGGGAGGGAAGGGACTGGAAGGGAGGTAAGGGGTGAGAAGGACCTCCGGGATGCGACGAGAAGGGGAGGGGTGGGACGGTGCGTGAAGGGGAGCCAGAAAGGGTAGGAAGGGATACTGTGGGATGCAACGAGGAGTGGAGAGGAGAGAAGTGGAGAGGAGAGGAGAGGACAGGAGGGGACGCTACTGGACACGACGGGACGGGACGGGAACGGGGGGGACCTGATGGGACGTGAGGGGACGCGACGGGAAAGGACGGGACGGGACGGGACGGGACGGGACGGGAAGGAAACGAGACGAGAGGGGACGGGACGGGACGGGACGGGACATGACGGAACGGGATGGGACGGGACATGACGGGACGGGATGGGACGGGATGGGACGGGATGTATGACGGGACGGAGCGGGAGGGAACGCGACGGAGCGGGACGGGACTGGCGGGAGGAAACGTAGGAGACGCGCCGATCCCCATACCCCTTTCCCTTCCCACATCCCCTTTCCCTAACCCCATCCGCCTTCCCCTCCCCCATCCCCCTTCTCTTTCCCCATCCCCCTTCTCTTTCCCCATCCCCCTTCTCTTTCCCCATCCCCCTTCTCTTTCCCCATCCCCCTTCTCTTTCCCCATCCCCCTTCTCTTTCCCCATCCCCCTTCCCTTCCCGCATCCCCTTTCCCTTTCCCCATCCGCCTACCCTTTCCCCATCCCCTTCTCTTTCCCTATCCCCCTTCCCTTCCCCCATCCCCCTTCCCTTCCCCCATCCCCCTTCTCTTACCACATCCCCTTTACCTTCCCCACACCCTCCTTTCCCTTCCCCCATCCCCCATTCCCTTTACCCATCCCCCATCCCTTCCCTGCATCCTCCTTTCCCTTCCCCCATCCCCCTTCCCTTCCCCCATCCCCCTTCCCTTCCCTCATCCCCCTTTCCCTCCCCCTCTGCTATCACCTTCTTTTCTCTTTCTGCTACCACCTCCCTTCCCCCTCTGCTGTCACCTCTCATCCCGTGATACCACCTCCCTTCCCCCTCTGCTGTCACCTCTCATCCCGTGCTACCACCTCCCTTCCCCCTCTGCTGTCACCTCTCATCCCGTGATACCACCTCCCTTCCCCCTCTGCTGTCACCTCTCATCCCGTGCTACCACCTCCCTTCCCCCTCTGCTGTCACCTCTCATCCCGTGCTACCACCTCCCTTCCCCCTCTGCTGTCACCTCTCATCCCGTGCTACCACCTCCCTTCCCCCTCTGCTGTCACCTCTCATCCCGTGCTACCAGCTCCTCCCATGAAGCCAACACTTCGCCAACCCTTTCACCTTTTTCCCCTGCTTTCACACACTATTCCGCCAAGCAATCACTTCCCCAATTCCTCCCTGCCTCCTTTCTTTCCCCATGCCATGCCTCCCCTCGCTTTCCTCCCATGCCTCAGCTCTGTTTTCCCACTTGTCTCCCCTCTGCTTCCCCCCTTTCTCCCCCCTGTTGATGTGCTTGTTCCAGCATGGCGCCACAAAGAACCAGTTCATCCTTAGTTTTGTGACTAATGCGTAGATTCAAAACTCAGTTGTTGGCAAAGTAGGCTTGCCAAACCCGCCTAGTCTCTTGTCTTTCATAGCATATTACACTTGATGCTCAGATGGTTTCAATGCATCCATTTAGTTTGTAGCAATTGAGCACAGCACTGACCTAAAGAACTTATTGAATGTATACACTTGTGCAATATCTTGAAGATACGGGGTACATCTCTCCTCTAGCGCCAATCTCGCCTTCGTGCATCTGGCCGTGCATCTGCTGCTTGCCTGTCCCTTCCGTTCCGCCAGGCTCGCCTGGGACTAGCTTAGTCCTGCTTGTAACTGGAACAAAGGGAGAGGTGACGGGAGGAAGGAAGGCTCCAGGGATGAGAAAAAGGGCAGTTGAGATGTGAAGGAAGAGAAAGGTGGTAAAAAGGGGGAACGGGGAGAGCAAAAGAGGGTAGGGGTGATGCAAGGAAGGGAGGCTGGCACGCAAGATGGGAAGGAAGGGAGGGCAAATGAGAAGAATGGGAGGGGATGAGAAGGGAAGGGACAGGAGATGGGAAGGCATAGTAGGGGAAATGAAAAAAAAGGAGGGCAGATGGAGAAGGAAAGGGCTCTACACACTCATGGCCCTAAACACAGCACTCAACCTCCCCACCTCCTACTCCCACTCCCCCTCCCCTCTCTCACCATCGCCCACACCCACACCCTCCTCACCTTCCCCTGCTTACATACACCTCAGTTCGGGCAGAAAAGCTAGCAGGGTGAGCGCGTGGCGAGGGCTGGCTGGCAAGCAAGCCTTGCTGCAGACATTAGGAAAGTTGGTAGGGGAGGGGGTGAGGGTGAGTTAACAGGGAGAGGAAGGGGAG